AGGTTTAATTTTCATGAGTTTGTGTAGATTTGAGATATAGAGAGATATGTATGCTTCCTGCTGGTGGGCTGCAAACTAGTACAACCTCTATGAAAAACAGTAAGGAGATTGCCAGCATTCTACTACTGGATCTCAACCCAAAGGAAAAGAAGGTCTTTTTTTTTTTTTTTTGAGACAGAGCCTCACTTTGCTGCCTGGTGGCATCATAGCTCACAAACCTCAAACTCTTGAGTTCAAGTGATTCTCTTGCCTCAGCCTCCCAAGTAGCTGGGACTATAGGCGCTGCAACAACGCCCAGCTAGAAAAGAAAGTTATTTTATCAAAAAGACACCTGTACTCAGATATTAATCACAGCACAACTCACAACTGCAAGGGTGTGGAATCAATCTAAGTGCCCATCAATTCATGAGTGGATATAGAGAATGTGGTATGTTTATACATATACATATACCATGGAATACTACTCAGCTGTTAAAAAGAGTAAAATAATGTCTTTTGCAGCAACTTGGATGCAACTAGAGACCATTATCCTAAATGAAGTATTTCAGAAATGGATAAATAGGCTCGGCACCCGTAGCTCAGTGGCTAGTGTGCCAGCCACATACACCAGAGCTGGCAGGTTCAAACCCAGCCAGGGCCTGCCAAACAACAATGACAACTACAACCAAGCCAGGCATTGTGGCAGGTGCCTGTAGTCCCAGCTACTTGGGAGGCTGAGGCAAGAGCATTACTTAAGCCCAAGAGTTTGAGGTTGCTGTGAGTTGTAACACCATAGCACTATACAGAGGGCGACATAGTGAGACTCTATCTCAAAAAAAAGAAATGGAAAAACAAACACCACATGTTCCCACTAATAAGTAGGAGCTACACGGCAATGCACAAGGGCACAAAAAGATATAAAGAGCATTGGAAACTAAGAAGGGAGAAAGACTTATTGTTGGGTACAATGAACACCGACCTGCTGGTAGACACACTGAAAGGCCTAATTTCACCATTATAGAGTGTACCCATGTAACAAAAACATTTGTACCCCCTTAATATTTTCTTAAAAAAAAAAAAA